GAGAAGAAAAATGACGGATGGAGCTTTTTTAGCGCCCAAGGGGAGAGTAGGAGGGTAAGAAAATCAGAGTTTAGAGGTCCCCCCCTCAAATCCAGCCCCTCTCACTAGTGGGGAAGTAAACCCCAAGTTTATTGGGAGGGGCCCCCGTTCCAGATTAAACCCCTTTTGTTGCGTGTCTGACAGATTTGGGAAAATTTTTTAAAAGGAAAAAAATACCGACAGGTTTTTAGGGGAAGAACCCCATATTTCCCAAAAGTTAGGTATCTTTATTGTGAAACTTTTCCCCCTACACGTAGGCTTTTTCAGTAAGTACGGAAAAAAGGGTTTATAGAAACGAAAGATATTGAAAAACGATGTAAAACAGTCCATCACCCTTAAAAGTTTTTTTGGGGGGTTTAGTCCCTCATCCCCGGGGAAGAGCAAATTTTTCCTTTGTATGAAAAAAATATGGGGGAAAAAAGTGCAGGAAAGGAAACCTTTTTTTAGCGCCCAAATGGTGAGCCCTAAAGGGGAGGTTTAAAAACTCAGATTTTGAAAAAAGGTCCCCCCTTCAAATTTTCCCCCCCCTCTCCCCTAGTGGAAGTAGCCGAATTTTATTTTCAGGTCCCTTTCCAAATACCCTTTTGTTTGCGGGTCCCGAAAAGAAATTTAACATTAAAAGGGGGAAAATTTCCGACAGGTTTTTTAGGTAAGACACAATGCCCCAAATTTTAGGTATCTTTAAATTGGGGGAAACCCTTTCGGGCCCACACATTTGGTTTTTCAGTCAAATTTCAGGAAAGGTTTTTATAGAAGCAAAAAGATACTTTAAGACATGTAAAACATCCCCTCACCCCTTTAAAATTTTTTAGGGGGTCAGTCCCCAGTCTGGGAAAAAGCATTTTTCCATAGTAAGAAACAATATGGGGAAGAAGGAAGTTTTTGGGGGGGCTGGATTTGAGAGGGGGCCCCCCCAACAACTGAAATTTTTTACCCTACCTCCTCCACCACTTTGGGCTATAAAAGCTCCATCCTGTAATTCTTCTTTCCCTATTGTTTCCCAAATAGGAACAATGCTCCTTTTCCCCAACCGAAGGGGTGACCCCCTTTAAAAAATTTTAAAAATGAAAGGGCTGGGTTACATCGGGCTTAAATATCTTTCCCGCTTCTATCCAAACCTTTTTCCCGTAAATTGAAAAGAAAAAGCCTTTCTGTGTAGGGGGAAAACGTTTCCCCAAAAAAAAAGATAAACCCAAAAGTTGCTAAAGTGTCTTTTCCTAACCCAACCCGTCGGGATTTTTTTTACCATTTTAAAAAAATTTATGAATTTCCTTTTAAATCGCTTTTTTTTTTCCCCCCTGTTTTTTTTTCATAAAGTTTCCCCCTTTAGCTTCGTCTAGCCCAAAACAAAAATGATCCCCTCCCCTTTTGCTTCCCACTGTTGGAAACCCTTCCCCTTTTCCCTCCTCTGAGGTGGGTTTTTGTTCCTTCCCATGGAGTGTTTCCCTTTAATCCCTTCCCCCAGCTGTGGCCCCATGCTTTATTGGGTTTTTCCCCCCCTTTCTCACCTGTTTTTTTTTCCCCCCAATGGGCTGGTAAGGTCCCTGCACTTGGGCCCCAGTTCCTTTAAAAGCTTCCCCAAAACCCCTTTAGCTGTCCTAGTTTTGCTCCCCGTCCCTTTTTTTTGGGGGCCCCCTATGGGTTTGACAGGGGCCTCTGCATTCTTTTTAAACTTCCCCCGCACCCCTCCGACCCTTTGTCCCGTGTTGATGTTTAAAAAGTGCTGATGTAAATTCTGGTTTTTACTTTTAACTCTAAGGGTTTTTCAGATTTCTCAGCTCCGCTTTAACTCTTTTTCTTGGTTTCTGCCCATTGTTGGGGTTTGCTCCCCCCTTCCCGCAAACCCGCTGCTAACCCCCTCCTCCATTTCCTTTCAAGCTCAAACCCAG